AAATCTGCAATAATATACATATTGTATATATACATACAATTACATACAAAAATCATACAAACATAAATGTATATACAATTATATATATATATACACATATATATATATATATATATATATATATGCTCACCCCCCCCCCCGTTGACAGACCATGCCCTTGTGATAGTGTACTCTCGTTCGGTGACTAGGCTGAGATATTGCATCTAAACACACCACACATGACGACAATCTGCAAAGCAAATCCTTTACAGTACATATACCAAGTATACTTTTAACATGCCATGTACTGAGGACGCATGGACCAGATGCGCGACACGTGAGTTATGAGTTTTGTGGTAGCATTGATATAGGATGAGTATGAATATTAATATTGGTATTAGTATTAGTATCAGCAATAGTATTAGTGTTTACTGTAAGTATGTATATATATATATATGTATATATCGACAGTAGTAAGTATACATTAATGTTAGTGCTCATCTTCGTTTTAGTCTTAGTGTTAGTGCCAGTGTCAATGCCAGTAATAGTACCACTGCTAGTATTAGTATCAGTCTTCATGCTGGGTTTAATATCAGTTCATAATGGCAGAATTGCTAGTATTGGTATCAAAATTAGAGTTAGTTTCGATATGTTACTATTCTGATAGTTTCGTATATCAGCAGCTTAGTATATCAACACATTGATGTGTTCGAGAGGCAACATATTTGTATACTTGCATATTCGTAGATTTAATACTTTAGTACAACTGATGCATGAGTAAACTAGTATATTGCTGTATCAATATATTAGTATATTAACATACCAGTATATTCGTACATTAGTGTATTAGTATACTAGTATATGCAATATACGTGTATTGTCTAAAGATCTATAAGTGTATCAGTATGTTGTCATATTAGTACACTAACCTGCCACGTCGGTATACTTGCATATTACAGTAGTCGCATACTAGTATAGTAGCATACTAGTATAATAGCATACTAGTATAGTATATTCACACATTAACAAGTAGTGTATTGTTACATTGGTATATGGGTATATGCTTGTCCTAAAACATCAGTACATGAATGCATTGATACATATCGGCATTTTAAGTTAATGGTATGTGTTCTGGTGTGCATTAGCATATGCACGTGTCTTTTGTAATTGTATTAGTCTTCACATCAATATGAATATGACTGTTGGTATTCGTAGGAGTATTAATGTTAATATTCGTATTAGGATTATCCATAGTCGCATTAGCCTTAGTATAAGTGTTAATAATGGTATTAATACTGGCATTATCTTGAATATTCAGCAAGTTATCAATGTCAGTATTAGTATTGGTGACAGCATTATTGTTAACAGCATAAGAGTATATGCAGTAGTTTCCGTAGGAGTATCAATACTTATGTAAATCTTGGTGTTGGTATAAACAGTGTGATTGGTATTAGAAATAGTGCTAGTGCGAGTGCTAATATTAAAATGAGGTTATGTATTCGCATGAACGTTTGTCTTATATTAGTATTACTCCTGATTACATGAAAATACTAACAGATAAATACATGCATGAGCTAATGTATTTGTACTTTAATATAGTGGTATGTACATTTATGTACATTGGTATATGCAGGTGTGTATTAGTATTGGAATTAAAATACACTACTACCAATATGGGCATAATTATTGATATGCGTAGGAGTATGAACGTCAGTATTAATCATTATTAGTATTTGTTATTTGTATGGTGCCTATTCGTATTGGCTTAAAAAAGTGTAAATATTAGTGTTAATGCTGGTATTAGCTTGGGCAGTCAGCAAATGATCAATGTCAGAATGAGTATTGGTAATAGTATTCGTAGGAGTACCAATTTAGAAAAATAGATAAACACTGGCAATCG